AAGCATTCCCTTTGAGAAGGTTAATGTTTGAGGTAGGGAAAAAAAACTGTAGGAGTCAGTGTTTCTCAGGTAGGGGAAGATAATTTTCAAAGAAAGAACCATGAGTAGGACAAAAACAGCTATTCTAGCAGTAAGATCAGCAAAATCACTGTCTGAATAAAGTGTTTCATTTCTATTTGTATATTTACACTTATGTCATATGATATTGGGGTCATGATATTCTTCCTTTCTCATTCACACCATAAACTGACAAATTAGTATTATCTTCATTTAACAAATAAGAAAATTAATGCTCACTAAATGTCTGTTGATCAAAATTTATGAAACTAAGAATTGAAACCAGGTCTACTCTACATTAAAACTTAATCTGATCGAGCCAGGTTGCTTTTACGACTAATAAATCTAAGTCATTTCACTAGCTTGATAAATCTGCTTCCTTCTTTCCTTTCCCAATTGTCTGTCCTTCATGAAGTACAGGTAGGTGTCCCTCATAATGAGCTCACTATACTTCGTTTCAGTTCTTCCTTATTTCAAGTCTTTGCACTTGATCATTTAAAATATAATTAGCTTTTAAGCATAACTTATGCATTTGCATTGCTAAAAATATTAAAAATAAACTATTTCCCAAGACAATAATTATTAGCATTACCTTTTTATCAATAACCATTTTTAAAATAAAGTTTATTAAAACAATTTCAGTGTACTGCAGAGATTTCAGTCTTATGCATCTTTATTTGCATAATCATTGGTGTTACTACATTGGTTTGATCCCCTTTTTAATTTATCTTAAAATCTAATGATCAATACAATTCTATCTTTTTAAAGTTAACTTTCAAGTTTGTGATTTTTTTTTTAGTGTTTCTGGAATCTCACATTTTTTTACATTATCTTAAGTAACTTTTATGTAAGCTCATATTGGTATTTCTGAATGAATATGAAAAGATCTGTTTCACCTTTTATACATTGTTCATTCCTCTAATTACTGTCTACTCTTGTCCACATCTTCTACCTTATTACCATCACATGTATATTTTCTTCCAATCATTTGAATTCCCATAGAGTTTTCTATGTTCCCTTCTTGCAAGTCTCCAGGAACCTCTTCGTTTAGCTGTTTGTTCCATTCATTTTCTGCATTGTGCTCAAACTCAATGTTCCCTCTTCTGTTTGAGAGAATGAGTTATCTTACCTCCAACCTCATTCTTGGTCCTCTGTTTTACTGCAAATGTAAGTCCTGACTGCAAATGTCCCTGTGTAGTGCAGTCCCAGAAACACTTCATTCAAATGCACGTGTTTTTTTTTTTTTTCCTGAAACAAGACCATTTGCTCAGTGTTCATTATATGCAGATACTTGATGCATAATAATAAATAAAGATAGACAATGAAAAGGGCAAGGAGCCAATCAATATAATGTCCCATTTCTCTGGATACAATCAGCTCCAGCTGTAGGTCTTTATCTTAGGAGTTCATAGGATTATGCACACATGTAATTAACCCAAATAAATCCACTTTTGTGAAAAGCATTTTGAAGACTTCAGCACAAAAGAGAATTTTTTGGTCCAGATCCTGTACTATTCTGAATTTTAAAAAGGCCACACAGAAGCTTCATCAACCCTAATTAAACTCATCAGTTCACAGATGTTTATAGGAAAAGGCTCTGTGAAACTCTTCAAGAATTTGGGAAGAGAGATGGATGATGACAACAGTAATAATGATGATAACAAGAGCTAGCAGTGATAAGTATTGTAAGATGGACGCAAATTTACATTAGTCAAAATTTGATTTATCATACCTACTTTACAGATGTCAAAACTGAGGCTCAGAAGATTAAGTAAGTTTCCCAAGGTTACAGGAGGTAGGAAGTTCTGGGCCAGGAATCAGATGCTAATCATTATGGCCTATTGCCAGTCCCCTGCCAATACCCAATGCATGACTAATATCTACAAATTTCTGTACATTTACTTCAACTACCATTATTTTAAACTGCCATTATTTCTACATTACTCCCTTTCTGTATCCCTCACTTCCACACTTTCCTTTCCTTGAATTTTACTTTCTGGTCTAAAAATTTTCCTGATCATCTGAAAGTCGATGAAGTCATTCTTAGAAAATGTGCTTTAAAGGTAACATTTTCTCGATTGTTTCACTGCTTACCTTAGCAATGGCAGGCAAAAATACAATTTATTAAGTAATCGCCAAATCCCATGTTTACTTCACTGATAATCTAATGAGCTGTTTTCTTTCATTAACCTGGACAGAAAGAGAATGAGCCTTTGTCATAGCTTGGGTGCCCTTTTGGAATCTAATTCATCTGGTTTCTAGCCTTTGGCTTTTTATTTATTGACTTGCCATCCTCTCTGTGGGTGCCATCTAGTTTCTTTTCTCTTCTGTTTCTCAATATACGTATTTCTGGGACCAAAACCACAATATTCAGAGCTATCTTACATAATTTGTGGTTTTGAGAGAAAGCACTCACTTCCATACATAATCTTAAAACTTTATATATGAGCATTATTTGGAAATATTCATTATCTAAGTACAAATGGTGCTGTTCTAAAATAACTAATCTAAGGTTTTGAGGTGAGATATAGCAAGCTATTTTACATTTTGCTTATTTTTTTTAATTAAGTAAATTAGGATGAGGTATTTAACCCCTGTGCTAAGTGAATGGTTCAGTGATTACTCAGAATTTGATAATAATTTGGAAATTTATAATTATCTCTATTTATAAATTTGTAATGAGGCTTTGTCCTCCTAAAGGGATAAAGAATCAATAATGTAAGACCTAGGTTTCAATAAATCCACTCTCAAGGGCAGACTTATTTTCATCTTTTCAGAAGACTGTGGCCCAGCTAATGGCTTTGCCACCTGGAACATGTGTGACTTCTTTATCACAAGTTAACCTCTTCTAACAGATTAGTCCAATATGTGAAATGGGCCTCGTTATTAATATCTACCTCATGAAGCTATAATGAGGATCAGTTATATGATTCTGTCAAAATATATACATGGCACTGTCAAAACAAAATAAGTTATCCTTATTTTTAGTACTATTTTCTTTTTGTTATTTCTCTGCTATTAATAGCTGTCATTATCATATGTGTTCCACATATCTGTTGTCCCTCTACATCCTCCTTCTCTACCTGGGTCTGTTTTTCTTTCCATTCATTCCACAAAACATGTCTTATTAGAATGTGAGTTTCAGGGAACCAGGGACCATGTCTATCTAGAAGCAACATAGATAAGTGGTTAAGAGACTGATTTCTGGAGTCAAATTGCTTGCTTGGAATTTTGCCTCTACCCATTGATTAGATCATTGACTTAGACATATTTCTTGACCTCTTGGAGTTTTTTTTTTTTTTTCCCACTGATAAAATGAAGATAATTATAACTGCTACTTCATAGGTTGTTGTGAGGTTTGAATGTGTCAATATGTATTCAAATAACTTAGAGATGTGCCTGCCATGTAATACAGGCTATGAATGTGTCTACTGTGATTATGATGATCATTTTTACTGTTGCCACACATCTCTAGTACCTAAGACAGTGATTGGCACACAGAAGGTATGCAATAAACACTTGATCGATGAATCAGCAAGTAGTAGACACAGAAAATGCAATGGCAAAAATACACTTGTCTGGAAAAAGTCTATAGAAACCAGTAGACAGACTTACAACTGAATGGCAAGTCCCAGGATAGCATTTGTACATCAGTTGGCTTAATTTCCCTCCATTTAAATGGTCCTTAAGTTGGGCTACATCACCAGAGAATAACTGGCTTATGGTAGGTTTATAACATAAGGGAAGGGGAGGCAATGTTATAAGGTATTATATAATTCAAATTGTAATGAGATAGTACAGAGATTGTATATTATAAGGACCCAAGCTAATACTCTTGACACATAAATTAATTCCATATCATTGCAGCAGAAAGTAAAGAATCACCCCATAATGTAGTAGTAGCCAAATAAGAATAACCTAGCTATTGAAAATACATCTGGATATTTTAAAACATTTAACAGAAGTATTGCAAAGCTCCTCTGTAATACCACTGGCATGAAGTAAGAATTGTACTTTTGTCACAGGCTTTTCTGTCTAATTAGTAAAGAGAAGTTGTTGAAGTCAACAGCAGTAGGCTACCCTGGATCTCACTCACCTTCAAATTCCTGTGTCCAACATGCACACTCTTTTGTTAGAAACTGATTCATGCAAAATGACATTTCAATAGGAACAATTTTAAAGTGAGCACTGCCAAGTTTGGTAAAACTTGGATTTTTCATGTATTTGTGGCAGAAAAATAAACTGATCCATGTTTCCAGAAGATAATTTGAGATATCAGAAACCTCATAATATCCCAGTAGTGTGGTCCAGCAATTTCACTTGTATTATTTATGCTTAAGAAATGGTTAAGGTTATAAGCAAATATAAAAAATAGCCCACTGCATACTTATTTATAGTAGAAAAACTTAGAAACAAATTAGATGTTATTGAACATGTATATTCATGACATGAATAGTCACTTGATATTTGGAAAATAGGTTCCAAAAAAAATGTTTATGGTATGTTCACAATTGTTTAAAGAAATATATCCAAATAGAGAGATTATGGATGATTTCTACTTTCCTCTATTTTATTTACCTTATTTTTCTTCAATGAATATATGTCACTTTTATGATCCCCAAATCTTAGCAAAATATGGAATTCATTTGGCATCTCCCTTCTTTTTTCACAAATAATGTCCTGATTTCTGCTTATAATATACCTCCTCTTCACATAAAAGAGAAGAATCCACCTTGTTGCGTAACATGAGCAACTGTGTCTTATCTCTCTTGGCTAAAGGATACCGTTAATACACCTGTACCGTCAAAATATGATGTAGAGTCAAGAATATAATCAGTGAAACTTAACCCTTAAATAGGTCATAATTCTATATATCTTCTTGCCTGAATATTTCTCACCTGCAGAAGTTAGTTGAACTCTCTTGAATTTTATTTTCTTTTCAGGTAAACAACTACAGTTTAGAAGAAGTAACCCATGAAGAGGCGGTAGCAATATTAAAGAACACGTCAGATGTAGTTTATCTCAAAGTTGGCAAACCTACTACCATTTATATGACTGATCCTTATGGTCCACCTGATATTACTCACTGTAAGTACTGCTCTTGGTGTTATTTTTGAGCAACAGGCCGAGTTTGCAAAATTGGAATTCTAAAAAAGTTGGCAAAGTCTTCTGCTTCATGAACAGTTTTGGTCAGCCTGTGGAAATACATCAGCGGCACTGCCCCTCTCATTGTCTTACCTAATATTCTGAAGGTGGGACACCCTGATGAAGTGACAGGTCCACCATTATGGAAAAGCTTAACGATATATGTTGTAGACAGTTACACTGGTGTAGGGCCAAAACATGTTTTAAAGGCTATCTCAATTCCTAAGGCAGATGGTTCTCATGTCATATTATTCTTTCTTCTTACTTCAGATCTATGTAGTAGTTGAAAGGAAAAGAGAAACTGATAAAATAGGCCAAAGGTAGCACTATGCTCTTTCATGAGGACAGAGATCGTGCACTGAATGTGGGAATTGTGATACTCCATTACCATCATCATAACTCTCACCTTTATGCAAATCTGTCATATGGCTGGGGAAACCAGAGAAAATCATTGGTCAATATGGCAGTGAATGTGGGTTATGGGTAAGGGCTTCAAGGGTAACAATTGTCATCACCAAGTCCATTGTTGTTAGTCCCATGCTTTCTGCTCTTCTTAATAGGTCAGCCTATTAATAGTTTCTGAGAAACTATTAAAATGATTATGTATTAATAAACTTTTTATATAGATTTTTCCCCCTCTGATTTCCATGGCTATATGACAGATGTGGATAAAGGTGAATGTTATGATGATGGTAACTGAGGGTCACACTTCCCACATTCAGTGCATGATCTTCTGCCTCAGGAAAAAGCACAATGCTTTCTCTGGTCTATTTTACCAACCTCTGTGTTCCATTTGGCTACTATATAGATCTGAAGTAAGAAGAAAGAATAATATGACATATATTCGAACTTACATAAATTCAAAACACCTACCACCATCTTATTTTTTGGATGTGAATTTATGGGACCATTTTATTAACATCAATAATCCTGCTGATTCTGAAATGCTGAGAAATCAATTGCAAGACTGGGAACTCAGAATGTCTTCAGGACTTGCCATTATAAATAGTAAAATGGTCTTAAGTAAGTCAGTTAACCTCTTGGATTTAGATGTTTCTCTTGTGAGAAATTTAAGGTTGATTAATTTTGTTACCTGACCATTATGTTAGGTAGCTAATGCTTTTCTTAGTGATTATTCTCAAATGACTTGTCCCCCAAATGTTTCTTGTTTTCAAGCAAGCTGAGATAAACCTAGCTTAGGACATGAAAACTTTTAACAGAGATTTCACACTGAATAAATTTGGAAAAATCAGCCTCAAAGTGCCATCACCCACTTCATGAAGGACATACAAGGTCGATGTCAAAGGGAGAGAAAGGAGAAAACAATACTTTGTAATCCGTTCATGAACTATGTGCTGGTTAATTTCAATTTGTACAGGGCAGCTTCTGTGGTCAGATTTGGGATAAAGAGGACTTACAATCATGACCTTCAATACAAAGAAGGTTAATTTAGATGTGTAAGTTACAGCAATATTTGACAAAATATGATATATATGTAATAGGAGGAGTTAAAATAAATGTACTTTGGACACTCAAGTAAATGTTATATCATCTGTCTTTAGAAAATCAAATCAGAAAAATTTTTAGGAAGATAGTAACATTTAAATTGCTTAAAGAATGGGTTATTTTTTTTTAATCTAATTTTTTTTTAAGATTTATTTATTTTATTCATACAGAACTGGGGTACAGGCCAGAGATGCGGAAGGTGAGAGAATTCACCAGGGACAGAGTGGGGAGCAGAACAGGCAGATCAACGAAGTATACTACTGAGGGGAGCAGCGGGCGGGCCAGGAGAGGTCTGCCACGCCATGTGGTCACCTCCGGGGCAGGCGGGGATCAAGCTCATGTGGAAGTGGCTTGAGCCTCCTAGTGCAGTGCTTTAACCCACTGTGCCACCAGGGAGGGCCTGGGTTAGGTTTTAATATTAAAGGTGGGATAGGTGGTAGAAATTGTAGTTGGTTAGTACAAGAACAACATGATACAACAGAATTTCTCAAAATATAAAATTGACTTGAAGAGAAAGAGAGGGGCAGGAGACCCAGTTAGGAGGGCTTTTTCTGTTCCCCAGAAGGAGTTGAATTAGAGTAATGCTATAGAAAAGTAAGTTTCTGGCATGGAATTATACCATGTTTTCAGATAAAAGTTGTATACAAGAATTTGCTCTCTAGGAGCATTCTGCTTTAGATGATGGAATATTAATTATGTGAAAATAATGTGAGCTTTAAGAATCACAAAACTCTCATGTTTATTCAATAGGAAATTCATTGTTGTTCTGAAAATATGGGTGTCTCCTACCATTCTTTCCTTCACTTAATTATACTAGTAGGACTTATAGCTATAATGGTTATTACATCTTTCCAATTGTAAAGGTCACCATGTACTTTTATACTTTAACATGTAATATGGTAACAAACAACAATCCCCTCTTTGCATGTAGCAATGTTTCTCTGTTTTAAACAGAACAAAAGCATAACATGTTGCATCATCCACATAACAAGTTTTTTCTTTTCTTTTCTTTTCTTTTTTTTTCATTTTTTAGCTTATTCTCCACCAATGGAAAACCACCTACTTTCTGGCAACAATGGCACTTTAGAATATAAAACCTCCCTGCCGCCCATATCCCCAGGAAGGTACTCCCCAATTCCAAAGCACATGCTTGTTGAAGATGATTACACCAGGTGAGACATTTTTGTTGACTAATTTCCTTTGTGATCATCACCACGGAGATAGGAAGTTTACCTAGAGTGTCAGCTGTAACTTTGAAGTTGCTGAACCCCATTTGAACTTAATAAGGTCTTGATCAAGTAGAAATCTTAAATTACTTGTGAACCTGTCATTATCCTTTGTTAGGATGTAAATAATCACAATTTATTTCTGGAGTAATAGTAATATACAAGTATACATCACTTAATTTATTAAGACTTTTGATATCTGATTCTATTTCAGCTTTATAGTCATGGTTTATGTATGATTACAGAGGATAGAAGACGGTACTGAGGTGCTAGAAGGATTAATATATAATACCGCATATCTAATGGCAAAAATAACGGGATTGAAATTCTTTTCTTTTGACACTAAATTCCATATTCTTGCCACCAGCATCTACCTACAACTCAGTGTAATTGAGGAGTCAATCTATCCTCTCTCTAGAGCAATAACTAAAATGGAAAGGAAAAAAGTGTCACTAATTCCAAATGGTTTGAATTTAATAAATCCCATAACCCAAAAGGGAACAGGTCAAGATTTTAGGACAGAACATAGAACTACATTGTTACTCCCACAGTAAAGCATGGTTTAGTCAACATACCTCTGAAAAAGACCAATCTGACAGTTCACACTTAGCTTACTCAAGTCAGTTTAATTAATGCTTATTGGTACAGAATAATAGTAATAATGAATAAATTAATGAATGAATGGGTGGATGAATAATAAGAAATATATATTTTTACTTTTTGTCTTCAAATGATTTTATCCCAAAGTATTATATGTTCATAGAATTTGAAGTAATGTAAAGATGTTCAAGAATCAGAAATCTCCCTTCAGTGTTCTTCCAGAGCATCCCAATCTTAACTGACCAATATGACATCCTACCACAGATCCTTTCAGCGTTCTCCATATTCCAACATTGCCCATATTCATGCAAATGTGGGCAGATGCACAGTCTGCAACTGGTTAAGTTTGACATTGCTTTCACAAGTTCATATTTTCTTTACATATCATACACACCTGTTTTTCTCAGTGGACACTACTTTAACCATGAGCACATTCCATATAGATTTGCACATTTAATTGTTGAAATTTTTGTGTGTAAAACATGACAGAGGTTGACCTTCTTGGTTTCATGCCCTGCTCGTCTAATGAAGTCATCTGTCAGCCTTTACAAAAGAGGAGACTTCCTGCTGCTTAGCTTTCCTCACTGGTACCCCTGCATGTGTTGGCCTTTTTATTCCTTTGCTATTTTTCTAATGACAGCATTTTCTGCTTATTTTTGCAATGTTAGGTTTGCTGAAGTAGCTTGTTACATCTTTAGCTAAGGAAAAGAATGTTTAGATGCTGCAAATTTGCATCTGTGGTGTAAATCAAATATAAACTTCCTATGCTGAAGTTGTCATCATTGGGCCTGTAGTTAAAATGAGTCTCAAAAGAACTGAGTAAATATGGGCACTGTTATTCACTCCAGAACAATGATCTATTTATTTTTATGCTACACTAGTATTTTATTTGGTTTTAATTTGAAAAGTGTCATTTAATTTTATTAGGCCTGATAGTGAATTAACATTTACTAGAATCCCTTTATAATCCTGGGTTCTTACTGTTTTGCATACACTACCCACTTAATCCTCCCCAAAACAGAAAGAAGTACTTTCATATCCAATTTAAATACGTAGAATTAAAACTCAGTGATGTTCAAAAGCTTGGACACAGCAGAATACTTTGCTGTAAAATTCTGGCTGTGAAGAAATACTGTTTCCTCCTGACTTTTAAAATGAAAATCAAATCATAGAAAACTGTGTTCATATTAGAAAAGGACTCAAGAAGAGCTCTAAAGGGATATCAAGTTTTTGTAAACTGTAAAGGCAATTAGATTAAACTTGAGACCTACTTCTACCATTGGTTAACTGTGTGACTCTGGGCAAAACCTGAAAGCCACAATCTATGTAATGGATATACTAATCAAATCTACCTAACCAGTTGGTAATGCTAAAGTGAGAAAATCCATGGCAAAAGCATAATCAATGTTAAATTAATTTTATCTATTCACAGTTACCACATTTATTATAATTCTTTATCTAAGATGCAACATGGAATGTTTTACAGATGAAAGAGTTCATTTCTTGCTCTATTGAGATGTATCTTCTTAGCCCTTCCACCTTTGTACCCTGGCAGATTTAGGAGTCTTACTAATAATGCTGTATAAAATCTTCTGAATGGCTGGTACAAACTTGTGAAGTAAAATTCTATCAGTTTACACACACATAAACACACACACACACGTGTACACCTGTCCCGCAGCCTCACCATTGCAGTGTCTCTCAAGTGCTGTCTGCAGTAAGCACTGATGTTTTCCTTCCCTGATACTCTGTTCCTTAGGATTCCCATGGGTCTCAGCTATTTGTTCAGAGGCAAACTCAATTGCCTCATTCATAATTAGTTACTGAATATTCCTTACTAGATAGTAGCAATACATGAGAATACAAAATAGAATAAGAAACAACATCTCTAAGAACTGTCAAATTGGGACATAACTTATTATAAACCATGGATTCCCAAATGCCTGTTCTGTTAGCATGCAGATTCCCTCTATGACATTTTACATAAGGAGAATTGAAGTTCAGTGGTATATTGTTTTAAAAATCTTGATATTACATATTTTGGATCAAAAATTACATTTATTTTGTGGTAATCAATGGAAGTTACTTAATGTATCTTTACTTACAAAATAAAAAGTAGGGAACATTAGATCCACCTTCATTTTTTTTTAAATGTAAGTAGCCTTAAAATCCCAAAGTGTGGGAACTAATAACAGAAACAAATTAGATTAAGTTTTATAAAGTATTCTGATGTTGCCCTGGCAGGGTTCCCTAGCATCTCGGGAGGCACTTAGTAAACATTTACAAATGAATCTGAGTTTTATGTGAATGTCACATAGATAGCCTATGGCATCAAAGAAAGTTAGAAAGGGATTAACTGCAGAGTTTGAAATCAAGCAAATATGGAGACACTGGTTAAAATTGAGATTAAAAAGGACTTTTGTAGTAAAGAATAGCACATAAACACTTAAGGAAGAATGTGAAATAGAATAAAATGAAAACAACTACCACAACTAGAAATATAAACCTCATAAAAGAAAATGGTATCTACCTTTTAAGGTATCTTTATATTCCTGTCCTTTCCCTCACATGCAACCTCATTATAAAGTCAAAAATACAGAGCAATAAAAGCAAAAATATTGCCATTAATACCACAGTATTTTATGTTGTTAACCCCTACTGTATTTATGTGAGATTTGTATTCTTGATTTTTACAGATAACAAAAATGCTTTTAGCATTTTAGTAATTACCTTATGTCAAACAGCAAGCAAATAACAGAGTCAATATTTGAGGTCTGGTCTGTCCTCAAAGTCTTCTCCACATTCTTTTTCTCCGTAGTCATGTACAATCTCTTTGCATGGGGAAATGTTGAACAAAAAGGACTGGGCTTTTAGCAGGAGATAGAGTTCTAAACCCAGTGCTCGCATTTAAAGTCATTTGATTTTGAACCAGTCATTTCTGCCATAAACCTGGTTTTTCTCATCAGCAAATTTGTTTAAAAAAAAAAAACAAAACTCTCATTTCTTCATGAAATTGTTAGGTTTTTAATGTTTATATATGTGAAATATATCACCTTCAGAGGACTATTTAAATTTATTATAGTCCTAAAGTGATATAGTAGCTTATATTGGAGCCTAACTTTAATTTTTCCTAAAATAGTATATCAAAGGATTGGATCTCTAGTAATGGGATTAATCTTGAGCTGAGGAAAATATTTCTGTGAAATGCAAAGTTTTCATCAACTTAAAAAATCATATCAAATTGGAAACCTTTTATTCCATGTACTTGTTGTTCCTATATTGTAAGAAATAGTTTTCTATTTTCTTCTATTTACTCAGGGAAATAAAGTCATAATTTTAAATCAGTTTTGATTACAAGAATTTTATAATGACTTTGACTCTTTTGAAAACCTGTCTTTTATTATTTAAGGCAATGTATACCTGAGGAAACTGAGAAAGTTTGCTTTTCCATTAACTTAGAGAAAGGGAACATAAACTTGGATGAAATTTTCCTAGTAGAAAACCTGAGTCCTTTATAAATCAGTATTTATTCATTGTAAAGTATATAGTCTCTGACTTTTGGAAAGCAAAACTGTTGAAATAATGCTGACATTTCCCTTAGTTCAGAAAATTAAAGACTATCAGAGTTGGACAGGCAATAAGTTAATATAGAGTCTAATTTTCATCTGTTTGATGGTAAGGACCACAAGAACCAGAATTTTTTTTTTTTTTGAAGTTCCCAATGTCCCTTAACTTGTAAGTGATGACATCCGATTAGAATGCAAGCCTGTGAATAGCCAATCTAGTACTTTATTCTGTTTCTTTAAGCTGATGTTCATGTGGGTAGCTGTGGGAAGATGGAATAAATAAAAGTAACGGTTACAAAAAGTTACTATCAGTGATCAACAGTGAGTAATACTTATTTTGACTATTACCCACAAGCATAGATTCTGCCTCTCCTGGTTCACGTCTTCTCAAAAGTCACTCAGAAGAGGTACAAAACCACACACACTCTCACCATCTGGTTAAATATTCAAAAGATAAGCCCTCCCTGGTGGCACAACAGGTTATGACTCAGCACGGCAAGCTAGTCTCAGCCACTTCAGTGTGAGTTCGATCCCAGGCCCTGGAGGTGATCCACATGGCATAGCAGACCTCTCCTGACCTGCCTACTGTTCACCTCAGCGGTGTATTTCGGCCAGTCTGCCTGTTCTGCTTCCACTCTGTCTGTAGTGAATCCTCTCACTGCCCCTGAACCTCTGGTTTGTACTCCAGTTCTGTATGAATAAATAAATAAACCTTAAAAAAAAAAAAAGAAGAAAGGGCATTTATTTATAAATGAATAAAAAATATTCATAAATTTGCCT